CTTCAAAATTAAACTTTTGAAAGTATTCCCTGGAAATCTACTGGTCTGCTTAGGCCCTCCTGGCACATCTTTCTCTTTTGCCTCGTTTCTTTCTCTAGCTCAGCTCGGCACACAACACCCACCACAGCCTTTCCACCCAGAGGGTTGCCCAGTGGTCTTTGTTTTGCTTGGTGGTTTGGAGATCACTATCATTTCTTAGAGAAGTCTGTTTCTTTGTAACTACCCTCAGTCATGGCATGGCAACACCCACCAGTTTCAGCCAACAAAAATGCCAACCCCTCAAATCAACAGCAGCAAGTTTTGGTCAGAGACACCACTCCAAGTGACAGAAAACCTGGACTGCTAAACCTGTGTCCTCCTCACCAACCAACTGAACAACTCTGGAAAAGGCACGTTGCCTGTGCACGCCTCTGTCTCCCCACACTCTTCGTAAAGTGTGCCGAGGCAAGCAGGTTTTCTCACTACATGTTTGTACAAAGTCACTGTCGGAAAGAACGTCTAACAGTCCTTCAAGCAAACAGACATTAGCCTCAGATCACGATCCTCATTATTTTTACCTCAGTGGGATCAAGGCGACCCAACCATACTTGCTGTTATAAATTCATCTCTGCAAGTTTCTCATCACTCGATAGGAAATTACAGTACTAAAACTTTTATGCAAACACCAGATTGGTTGTGTGACTTTCTGCTCCAAGCTGCAAAAAAATGTCAAGAGAGTGTCACTTATTTCACTGCGAAGCGCTTTGCAGGGTTCAAGACACAATGAGCAGGTTTGGAAGCACAAGCTTGATTCGAGAATTGGATGACTTTTTCTTCACATGACCAGCAATCAAGTAAAAGCTCTTGATAAAATATCTTTACATGTACCCAAAGGTGATCAAAGTCCAAGTGGATACACTCAGAGCATCACTCAGGCAAAAACAAGAGCCAGAGACACCCTCCTCAGTCAATAAATAAATGGGGTCTGAAAGTGGAAAATGGCTGATGCTATTTATTCACACTACCCCATGCCCCAAACAACCCTCAAGCTGACTCAAATTCAACCCCTTTCCCCCCACTTCTTCCCACTGCTTAGCTTGGCCTCTCCTGCCCTAAATGATTAATGCATGAAATCCACACACATTTATGCCTTGCAGTGCTTTTATTTTCATCTTGGCTGTAGCCAGCCCCACAAAGCCACTGCTGCCTGGGTTCAATTTAAATCAAGATACAACAGAGCTAATTAAGTCTGCTAGCTGGGATATCAGAACCAGCCTAACCACATGAATACAGAACTCTCCTTCCAGACTCATATTCTGCAGGGAAAGGCATAGGCACCCTGGTACAATGTGCAGAGCAGATGTCCTCTGAGGCACACAAACTTTAGGAACAGTGGCCTAGATCGCACTGGGCTGCGTGAAAGGCAGCAGCGTTACGACTAGAATGAAGTTGGGCAATATAAGCCAACTAAACTAATTTTTCTAAAGCCAGCCTGGAAGTCACACTGGTGGAACACAGCTCAGGGGTTTCAGTCATTTTGAGAATTACTTTGTCACCAGTGAAAAATATCTCCCCAGCAATCTTTGGCCATCAGAGGATATTAATAGATGTTGATATTCTCATAACAGATGACCTCCTTTGACTACTCAACTAACCACTGAAAAACATTACTCAGGCAAACCGAGCCAGTGTAGGCACCCGGCTAGCGGGCCTGCCCCCACAGCGCAGTGCAGCCCACATGGAGCCCGTGAATAAGGAACCTACATGAGCCGTGTGGGCTGCAATTCTGGTAGGAAAGTCGAGGCATTTAGCATTTCAACATATGTCTTACCCCACCTCACCAAGGTAAAGGAAGAACTATAACCTGGTTTAACTCCACTGGCAATGGGTGTAGATTTGAGTATTCAAAACAATCACTAGCACACAAAAACTATTCTTGTCTGTATTAAATGACTCTTTATCCAGACTTGTAAGTAAATACGATTAAGATTTCAACTACAGAAGGGATAATTAAAAGTTATCAAGGTTCTGATCATAGAATCACAGCATGGTTTGGGTTTGGAGAGTCCTTAAAGGTCGTCCTGTCCTACCCCCTGCCCCAGGCAGGGCCACCTTCCACTAGCCCAGGTTGCCCAAAGCCCCGTCCAACCTGGCCTTGAACCCTTCCAGGGAGGGGGCAGCCACAGCTTCTCTGGGCAACCTGTGCCAGGGCCTCACCCCCCTCACAGGGAACAATTTCTGCCTTAGATCTGATCTAAATCTCCCCTCTGTCAGTTTAAAACCATTAGCCCTTGTCCTATCACTACATGCCCTTGTAAAAGGTCTCTCTCCAGCCTTCCTGTCAGCCCCCTTTAGGCACTAGAAGGCTGCTGTAAGGAGATCCCAGTGTCATATTTTTTTGGTTGTATATTTTTGTATTTTTTTAATTTGAGTACTGGCACAACACAAGAACTTAGCAAAGGCAGGACAAACCGTGAGCCACTATTTTACCTCTGAAGCTCTCTTTCTCATTCTGGAATTGAAATCTGATTGTTAGATGGAAAATAGAAAACCCTCATGCTAACCACAACTCCAAAGCCTGTCAGTGTTACTTTAAGACCATTTCCTAGAGTCAGCAGAACTGGTTCCCAACAGGCAGAATATTTTGGTGATAAGAGCAGTTCCTACCTGACTCCAGTTCTACGTCTGTAACAGTAACACAGATATGGCCAGGGCATCCTCATGCCCCTCCTGAGTTCAGTGATAGAAATCTTGCACTGATGGGCTAGTGTTGTGCCCGCACTGACCTGCAGCAGAAGTCAGTGACACAGAGTAGGATCAGGTAGCTTTACCCAAAGCTAAACACAGGCCCAGAGTGGAAATTCCACACACAGAACAGAAACTTACTAGTAAAACATTTCAACAAATTTAACAACATTTTAACAATTAAAAAAACCCACTTCAGTTGCAGATGTTCAGAGCCTTCTAAAGCAACAAGAACATTTACAAGTCAAGACTGAAGAAACCAGATTGGCTGGTTTTCAGTGTTTCTGTCTACACTGCCAAGTAACTTTGCTCTTCAGTCCTGGATGCCCCCAGCTGGTCCTGCACTGCCTGGGACTGCACATCACTGCATGCACTCTGGGTTCTCTCTCCATGTGAGACAACTAATATTTGTAACACAAATCTCTGCTGTGGGGATTGCTATTTCAACAGGTTCAGACAGAGGCAGTAATTAAGCAAAACTGCTCTATATTGCAATGACACAGAGAAAATGCAGATGGCCTCCCAAAAAGAAGGCAAATCCAAGAGGTGATGCCAGGCCTATGCCACATGTCCAGAGTGGACAGCACAACATCTAACACATCCTTTTCTAAGGGGATAAGCGCCCCCCCCCCAAAAACCCTAAACTAACACAGGTAGCTCAGGGCCAGGCTAAGGGCTTTGCAGCACAGACACAGACAGTCCATGACAGAGGGGGGCTAATCCCAAATAATAATGGCCACTAGTCACTACACACCTCAACGCTGAGGAACCAGGGGCAGAAGCTTCTCCCCACAGCTACAGTGAACTCTGTGCTTAGTCTCCAAAGGCTTTGGTGTTACTGTTGTGCAGCAGTGCTTTGACACTTGGAAAGACCATCCCAGAATATGAATAAAAACCCACACAGAAACACAAAACAGAAGCAAAGAGCAAGAAGTTGGTTTAATTTGAAAAAGAAATTGAAAAAACTAAATAAAACAGGGATGTCATTTCAAAGAACACTTCATGCAAGAGCTGCAGCACTTGCATCTGGTGTACAGTAAGCTGCAAAAGAATTATTTATAAAGCCCAATGACACAGATTCTTCTATTGCTAAAATGACAAAGATCAGCCATTTGCTTTGACAGCTTCACTGTCGGCCGTCGGCATTCAAACTTTTGAAGTCTGGAGTTTAAGGGAAAAGATTTTTGGATTCCATTTTCTTTCCAGGATGTTATCACATGAAAAGAAAAAATCAAAGTTGAAAAGTTCAGACCTGTCAATTTTCCATTTGTGAAACTGCTGAACACAATTAGCTTGAATAGCACGTTTACCTGCCAACATGAGGGCAAGACCCTTTCTACAAACTGTGAGACAAGAAAAGCTGAAGAAAATGCAACTAGCCCCTAATGAAGGCATCACATAAATGTGTGCTCACTGTTTCTCACCTACTGCAGACCAAACAGACACCCTGATCCCCACCGTAAACTCCAGTGAAATGAAGCCTGCTTTTATTTGAGCAGAAACTCTGAAGACTTAACCTACAATCTGAAAGTAGAAGGAATCCAATTAGGTGAATCATGGTGACATTCTCTTTAGCAATAAAGATAATAACGTGTGAAGTTTCACCAGAAAAGGGAGTGAGGCTTACAGGGTGTACAAAGATGTTTTTTATCACCATATTCTTGTCTACAACCACACCACAGAAGTATAGCTATTAACTGTAGATTCAGCACAGGAACAGGGGACTCGTCAACAACTTGCTGGCAGTAAGACAAAATGCTGCAGTCTGTGGTGATCTCCAGCTAATTGGCTTGATTCTGATCACCACCTGGGTGGCTTCTTGGAAAGAAAACTCCAGATTTTGCAGAGATTACATTAGGGATTAATGCTTCCCACTGATTTGCAAGAAACCAATACTTTGCTACAGCTCATTATTCTAGTGCAAGGTGCGGATTCTGTTTACCCAAATTTAACCTGCATGGCTAAGCAGGAAACACAAAAGGCAGTTTCTAGGAAGCAAGTGAAGAATATGTTGTGATGCACTGTTGGCACAACAAACTGCCCGAATTCACCACAGAAGGAGGTAAACTCTTCAGTTAAAGGTAAGTGGTATTTAGAGATAAGTGATGACGTACAAAGAAGAGTTGGGCAGTTAAACAGGATATGGTCAAGCGGTAAATAATTCACAATCAGCAAAACTGAAATCTTCAAGGACCAACTGCACCCCTTCACCAACCTTAATGTCTGCTGTTAAGGTCTCTTTCAATGGTTGCAAGATGAACTGAACCAAAAGTTACCTTCCACCCAGTCTTCAGCCTGCTGCGCTCTCCTCTGGGCCATCATTCGGTTTCCCATGTTCCTCCGGCGCCTCGGCATCCCATCTGCCCTCTCCTCAGCCTGGGGCCGAGGCCTGGCCACTGCTGCTGCCGCCACATTTTGCTGGTGTTCCTCATCAGCTGCAAAAGGGAAATACGATGAGAGATTTGCCATCTCTGTTTGCTGCAGGTGTCCTTTTGCCAGTCAACTTTTGCAATCAGAAGCGCAATACCGAATGAGCCTCCCTGTTCTCACGTGTTGTTTTGTTTTTTTCCTGCATGGCAGGAGATATGTGCAAGTTGCTTTCCCATGATTAAGCGGGTTCATGCACTGGAACCTTCTTATTTGTGCACAGTGCTCTGTACAACAGGAATTTTATCCTGACAACAGTCTCTTTTGCAACAGCTTATAGATCATTGCAAAGAAAAAGCTATAGCCATGTGCTGCTTATGTCATTTGATCTGACAGTGCCCAAACAAAAAACCCTCCCCAAAAATCACCACACCGCAAAACAAAGACACTCCCGCCCCACAAGTGCTCAAAAAAGATTTTTATTTAACCTAAAGTGCTAATCTGTTTTTCCTCTCTGCCAGGAAACAACTCCCTTTATCTGGCAGGACCAGCAGTCTAAACATTTCTGAGTTACCAAAAGGCAAGGACCCAGAAGTATTTTTTTTTTTCCTTCTAAAGCATTCAGATTTTTTCTAATTTTTATTTTACTTGTGTAACTTAGTAGTAGATTCACCTGAGTTCAAACCTGAGAGCATGCATGTTTCAGAGTGGAATATGTAAATTGTTATACCTGAAACAAAACCTGAACAGCAAACAAGGATTACAAATTACAGCCCCAAAACATACAGGATAACTTCATTCTACCACGCCGATTTAAACTGCAGGTCTCTCACCAAAGACAGGCAGGGGAAGACAGAATACCAAAGGTCACTGCAGCTCTCACTGCCATCCTCTCAGCGTATGCTTCAGTTACTAATTAAGATCTGACAAATGAGGAATATCATAACAGAGAAGCAGCTGGGAGACATCATGGGAGCAAGTGACTGACCAGCAGGCTCATTTCAGAAGTTTTTTAAAGAAAACCTTCCGCCAGGTTTTTCTTTGAGACTGCCATGATCCTGTTGCTATCAAATATGGTAGTCATGCCGAAACAATCAGATAATGGTAAAATATCATCGTCCTTGATACCTGCTTTGCATATTCCGTTGATAAGTATAACTGATGTTTGTGTACACTGTTACTTGCTCAATCCTGCAAAGTATTAACTACTATGCCTTAATTTAGGTAAATATTCAAATGGTCTCAAGGAAAGTTGCAGATAGAACTACACATTTACTTAAACTTGGGACAGATTTTTTTGTGCTTTGACTGATTATATGGTGTCCCAGCAGGAACATAAAATGTTTTCCACACTCTGTCAAGTCTCCAGCATCTTCTGATCCAAACAATGCCTTCCTAAAAAAACTACTATTAGCATATCTATGATCAGAAAATAAGATTCATTATGACTACATCTACATGATGATCAAAGGTGTGCTTGCAGCTCATCTCAGTACATCTCAGCTCTCTTCAAAGCGGCTAACTTTGGTACCGACAGTGCTGTAGCTGCAGCAGCGCTGAGCTCAGCACAGGCTGCAAAGCAGAGTAACCTGGGCAAGTGTTTGGCCACCAAAGCCATTAGCAGTTCAGGATTGCTGCAACAAAGGTGTTAGCAGTCCCCCAGCAAACTCCAGCACTGACATTTTGAATTGAGTCACTGCGCTATCACACTGCTGTCACTGTCTGGTTCTCATCTGTGAGCCTTTTATCTGTGGACCAAACCAAGTCTATAATAAATTACAGAGTGCAGGCTCCAGGGATCTGATCATTTTGCTTCAAGGCTCGCTCAGTCTTATTTATAGCATGATAATGCTTCTTTTGAATGCTACAGAATGTGCTATAGGACAGCAATATACTGCAAAGGCCAAGCAGCAGCTCACTTATCAGGACACTATTAAATGGCAGAAATAATGCCTGTGAAAAGCCTTTTTATACAAATGCAGTATTTCTCATAAATTCTTGAGATAGACTGCAATTCAAACCTTAGCAGCCTTTCATCTGAAAGCTTCAGTGTCTATCTCAGTAACTTCCAAAGGTGGTCCTGCTCAGGCTATCAGCTGTGCAGTTCCTGTGCTCATTCATTCTGGGGCTTGTTTTTTGGCTGCCGTTGTCCTGCGAAACAGAGACTGTTTTGCATTTTGTGAAAGAGGAATCTATAAGCCACATATTCATTTCAAACCAAGGTGCTTAACCCTCACAGAGGAACCAAGCTATCCTGTTTTCTCAATTTAATTCTCTACAGGAGACATAGTAATTCCTCAAAGTTGACCAGTGTTAACAGGGCTCAGAAAGCAGTAAAAACCCCATCAAACCTGACCCGTATCACGGTCAGACACACAAGGCAATGTTGGACAATACTTGTCAGATCTCCAGAACATACAGACAAACAACTGAGGACATCCAGACACTATGGACTGTCATTTAGTAGCAAAAAAGCTCTAATACAGCTTTTTTTTTTTCCTCCCCCCTTCCCCTATAGTTTCTGTTTGCAAGGCATTCAGCTGGACAATCATTTGATAAAACTGAATGTTTGCCCTTGCATTTCTTATGATCCTTCATGAGGGAGAGGAAGAAAGAATAATTTACTCTGCCTGTAACACACTTATACCTGGCTGCTTCTTCAGGGGTCAACGATTTGTCTACGTGGCTCGAGGCACATCATTTGTTGAAGTATCTAGAAAGTCAGACATGCTCTCCCTTCCTCTGAACTGGAAGTACAGATTGAGTAGAGCCGCACACGGAGGGGTGTGACTGATGATTTCAAAGAATAGGGAGGACCCACTTAAAAACCCTCTTGCTCTTATTCTTGGAACTAGATTGACCATCAGATTTGAGGTCAGGAATAATTTTCACTAGGGTCTGGACCTGTGGGTTTTTTACCTCCTCCTGCAGCACAGGGCGTGGTTTGGCCACTGCACTTATCGGAAGACATCTCTTCATTTTCCTGTAGCTGCAGAGGTCTCAGACACAAGTGGCACCGCAGGCTAGCCAGTGCATGCAGAGATTAGTCACACAAGGACTAATTAGACTTGATAAAGAGCCACTGAGTGAAACTTTATGACCAATACCTAAGACATGTGATCCGTGAGCTGCTCGACGGTTTGCAGAACGGCAGGCCAGAATAAATTAATTAAAGCCCTCAAGTTAACAACCAATACAAACAAAAAATTTAAACAGATGTCTGAAACATGGACATGGCTTTAGTTTGTATTTTAAGCTGCATGTTCTCCAGTTTCCAACTCAGCCTTTCAGAATCCAGGCAATACTTCTTTTCCGGGGACAGCAGCTTTACTGCCATGCTGAGACAGCAGCTCTGCCTTTGCGTTTTCAGAAACATCAGCACAGCACAGAGACAGCAACGGAGATTATTTTGTCTGACTTGTCAGTCAGTGCAGAGCAGCAACTCTGAAACTCTGGCTGTACTATCTGAGCTTCTTCCCAAAGGGAAACAGAGTAGAACTCTGTTCTGAAAAGAGAGCTCTTTCCTGAACTGGATGTAAAGCACCACTGTTATATCATTACAGAGAATACTATGAAATCTTTCAGAGCTCAGACTTCTTACGTCTAATTTTACATGCCCCAGGTAGAAATCTGCTCCTTTACAAAGCTTTGCAAATTTCCACCTGCTCAGAGCAAAGATATTTTATCTTGAGAAGCAATCCTTTGCCTATCACAGCATTTTATCTCGAGTTACATCAGATAAGCAAGTCCATCAGGGTAACACCTGGGCTGGCAAGTTTTGAGGCAGTCCAACAAGACACAGCGACCAGTTTGTGAGCTCCCTTGTTCTGCACCGACGCAGAGAGAGCTCCACCTGCTGCACCCTCACACCTTAGTGGTACTTCCCACTGCACTGACAGAGTCCAGCATCTTCCACCTTCACGCTAACCTAACCTAACCTGCGAAATTCAACAAGAAGGTGATTCAAAATTCAACAGGTGGAAGTATGCTCGGATCCCCTGGGGAGGTGCTTTTGCCTAGTACAGCTTATCACATCAGGGCTCGTTCACAAACAGACACGCCAACCACATATAAAAGCCAGCGACACTATGTTTTCTTTTCTATTCTCAGCAGAACAAGTCCAGACATGATCTTGCTGGAAACACTGTGCTGCTCCAAATGACCTTTTAAAGGAAATACAAATTTACAGGATTTACCTCTTGTGATCCTTAGCTCCCTTCCTGATCTAAGGCAGACAAGTTTTGAACGTTTTTAAAAGGACAATTCCCATAGTGTGAGTGTAAAGAGAAGCTGTTGCCCCTATCCTCAGACATTAAAAAGAAAAGGTTAGAGGTACCAACCCATCAAGAGTCCCTAGTTTCAAGTCCCTGCCATCAGACAACACAGATACACTAGCAGAATTGTAGCAACTTCCATTTTCCACGTAAGAAAAAGGAAAGTGAATTCCCATTTAGGATCAAAATTTGCAGATATTAAATACACAACAGCCTCGATGTAGTGTGTTTAATAACTCCTCTTGTGTAAGGAGAACGTCATCACCACAATCTGAAATTTTGTAAAGGACTTTATAATGACAGAAATCGGTATATTAAGGTAGAAAAAAAAAAAAAAAAAAAAAAAAGGAAGACCAACGCGACCAATGCAGAAGAGTAAAAAGATGTCACTGAAAAGGAGGCTTCAAAATTATGAAATTATCCTGAATGTAAACTAACTTTAACCAAGCTGTTCAAAACCAGTATTAAAGCTTCTTGAGAATTCAGACCATTTAAAACAAATGTTTGGGTTTCAAATTAGTTAGAACTTTGTACATCTAAAAAAGAAAAGAAAAAGAAACCCTCCCAAGCCCCGCAGACCCTGATTTACCCAAGTCATGATACAAGTCAAGTTCAGAAAATTACGTATTTTCAGCAGTCTCATTTCTCTGGGACATGCATTCACTTTTTACCAAAAGCTTTGACTAACCGGGAATCTGACAAAATCTCATCAGTTTCCAAGCTGCTGAGAAAAATTTAGACCAGGTCTATACAAGAGAAGATGCAAGAGAAATGTGTTGGAAAACTTAATTATCAGCAAAACCTGCTTTTAACACAATGTCCTTACCAATATACACTCTTTTA